AATAATCACCACAGTCGCAAATGGCACAAAACGCCACCACTCCTCTGTGACACAACACTTGCTTCGAAGGTCACCGGTCAAGACCTCATTTTACCTCCACAAACCAATCCACTACCCGTCCCTCTTCAGGAGACAATGCTCCCCACCCAAACGAATACTGGCCGGCAGGCGTCTCATAATGGGTTTTGGTCCAATATAGTGGGAACCGACTCTCCCCACTCGCTCGGTCAAGGAAAAAAGGCAGTTCCCCCTCGCCAAGCACTAGTTCAATCCAGAAAAAAGTATGTCTCCAGTTCTTGTATGAGTTGGCGTACTGGGCAAATATCGATCCCAGCGCGTTGCCCGCCTTTAACGAAATCCAGCCAAGCTTCTTCAAGGATGGCGACACCTGGAAGCAGTAAAAGAACAACCGCACGGAGTACACCCATCCAAAGTATTTGCATATTTTCTCAAAGACCCGAATAAACGCCCAAGCATTTGGGTGCAGTTGTGAAGGCGCAACCTATAGGTGGGCTAATACTCCCACCTTTGCCCCACACTGACACCACTAGGTACAGAGGGCGCAACGCTGCTACAACAGCAGCGCCTGCTACACCCAACACTGCCACCGATAGTGAATCCCAAGGAGGGTTGACTCCCTTCTCACCAACCCACACCAGGTGCACACCACTCTCCCTTATAAATAGCCCCATGGGCACACCATGAAGTTATCTTATGTATCGTTATTCTGCTTATTTACTTTGAGTCATATTATCACTTACTTATCCATTGTTGATTGCTTGCTATACTTGGCAAAGTACCTCTTAGCTTGGTCTGTACCTGTGCTAAGGGTATTATTATCCATATAGTGACTCATCCCTGAAGGGAACATAGTGGGCTTATAGATTCCAACGTTACAGCATGCATTCAGTATAATGCCCAAGTCAAACATGCTACACACACCAATTAAGCACATGCATTGATGGTGAATTCAATCAATGGCGTAAGACGAGAACCAACTGGTAGATGACACCCTACCTAATTTCTGAAATTCTACACTTTCAACCTTGTTAAAGTTGTCTCTAATTTTTCACCTGTACATAATTATTAGACAAGTTCAATATCTAATAACCAAAGTCTGTTGAGGCTGAAACGTTGCAGCCTCAAACATAATCTAGAACTAAGTAGGAAGTATACATGACACTGACATTATTGTTGAAGACCTCTAAAAACAAAAGTATTGTGTAGTGCGAAGAAAGTGATTACTCATGCATAAGTTGACATTTAGAGATGAAGACACTTGAGTAATGGCTGAGAACAGTCAAATATTGATAATTATGACGTTCATGTCTTTTAACATTTATCATCTCTTAATGCCTTGCTAAAGTACTAACTGGCAAAAAGGCCTCAACCAGTAGTAAATGTAGGTTTTTCCGGCCAATTGGCTTCATTCACTTGATCATTTGATTTTTAATATGGTTAGCAGGAATAGAACTAGAATAAATTTGAAGAAAAAGATGGGGGGAACCAAGAATGAACAAATGATAATAAAATCTTTGGTGACTCAAACTTCTGAGGATAATAAATGTTCACACATCACAGAATTGAATGAAACCTAATCTAATAGTTAAATAAGCACGGTTGAAATGTAAGGCTGCATAAGCAATTTACCTATTAAGACAAGAAGAAAAAAATCAAAGACAACTTCAATGAAAGAAATCATGCAAATATAAACATTATAGAACCCGTTCAGAGGACATTTGCACCAGCCCTCAGAAAAACAGTACCTGTCATTCAAACGTATCCTTCAATTGGGAGTTTTTTTGTATATACACGTAGTAAGAGTATAGAGTACAGAAATCGTCTTTTGGTTGTCTGAAAGGAAAAAGACAGCAACCTAATTCATTGGGCACAGATCAGCAAATAAATTACATGGGTCAAGAAAGAATTATAACGTAAGCACAAGAGCACAATACAATTAGCCCAAAACACAACTTTCATGGTATAATTGTCCATTGATTTTTTGGCATACACCTCACAAGCCTTGGCTTACAGTTACGGTGGGCATTGATTTATTGGCATATGGCAGTTTGATTTATTTTTATTTTATTTTTTATGTTGGGGGGGTTAAGACTTATGCTCGCTTCCATAAAGCACAGTTCTTCCTAACTATTCTAGAATATAGTGCTGGATTATGTTTCTTATACATTTCAACTCAGTAGAAAATCTCTCAAATATGCAGCCTAGCTATTAATAAAGTTCTCCATGCGCATAAATGGTAATTCTTTGTAGTTCCTGCGTGTCTTTTCTTTACTAGAATCAAAAGCAACCCCTAAAAAGGGAATATCAACATATAAATATAAAATTAACCACAATATCCTCAGAGCCTCAAAACAATACAATATAAAACAAAATCACTCCCCATTAAATCACAATTAGCGAGGGTAGAGACGAGAGCAATCCTCACCAAGCTTACCTTTGAATATTGGCAAAGAAGCTTTTTTCTGAATCTGAACCCGTGACCTTTGGTCACAAAGAAGCAATTTTAATACTACTCCATGCTTGCCCTCTATCAAAACAATACAATATATAAAGAAAAAAATGAGATACCTAAGTAACACTTTGCAACTAAGCTATTTCCTAGCAAATTACATTATGCCACTGTTTGACAGACTAGAAATAGAAATAGATCCCCTACCAAAAAAAAAAAGAAATAGAAATAGATCTAGTGTGGCTTCCATGGAGAAGTTCCTTGCTAGCATTCTTCAGAATTGGCTAAAATATCCTCAGAATTGGATGCAACATGACTGAAGCTAATAAAGAACAGTAAACAATGGGGAAATCTAAAACATTTATTAAAACATTTATTAAACCAACGTTGCTAACTTGATTCTCAAGATAGTACTTAAGGTCTATCGGTATCTTATTATCTAGCACATACATAGGATCCTCTGATCTCTCGTAAGCCTGATTATCTTACACATGTGAGTCTAGGGAAATTCTAAACAAATGCCTAAAAAACTACCATAAAAGGAGGAGGGAGTAATGTGATAACTAACCTTGGCAAGTGAAAACATGAAATTCCATATAGTAAATTTTGAATTAATCAAACACTACATCTGACAGCGAAACAATCTCATAATCCAGAGTCAGTATTCACAACAAATACAGAGAGGATACCGTTAGGTCTGCTTTTTCCCTTTTCCAGGCTACTAATAGGACTTCAATAATTTGAGGAATCCCTGAATTTATTCAGTGTCTCAACTTCATATAAGCATAAACATTACGCCACTATCAGCCATTAAACTCTAATCATGACATTTTGGAGTAGAATCACATAGATTACAAGACTTTCAGACCAGTAATAACAAGGATCAACAAGTGAGAAACTTTCCAACGACAGAAACCCATCAAGCTGGCACTGAACCAGTTTAAGTATGACTGTATGAGGTACAAGAGTTCATGCTATAAGAAACTAAAAACGTATTAAATCATCATTTACAAAATGGTCAATCAATCATCAAGAGTAATAGAAACTGATTATAACTAGAGAGGTCATCATTATCCTCATCATAACTAAACATAAATGTGAAACAGATTAATTGAACAAATGAAGATATAATGGAAGATCATCTTCATTTAGTGTTCATTTTAATAAAAGATTAATGGAAGATACTTAATTCAACCTTCAAACAGCCCAATCTTTCATATCACTTTCAATCATTAAAATGCAGAAAAATACAAAGATTTTAGTCTTGATGCATCATGGCAAAAAAAAACCCTTAAAACCAAAGGCAGGCAATCAAAATATCATAAGAAATTTGGCCCAAATCAAACAGCCTAGTATCACACATGAATTATGAAAATGTATGAGTAGTCTCCTAAAGGTTTGATTACCAATTAAGCACAGCAAAAAATCACACCACAGGAAAAAATTCGAAGAATAATCCAATCAAATATTTCTTGACTTAAGAGTCCTTACACAGTAAAACCAATAATCCAGTCACAATTAAAAAATAAAAATAATAATGAGTTCTCACAGTATGATTAAGACTGAGCCATCACAATAAAGATTAAAAACCGAGTATAAAATAGGAAAACAGGGATCATGCACCATTTAGACATTTAATCAAACACATAATATACTTCATTCTCAAATCCCAGAGCAAGATAACAAAAGTAACAACCTTTAATTGGAACCTAGTCAACCAAATTTATATACCCATTCTAATCTCTCAACTAAACAGATAGATTATATCAAATTCAACTTAAAATATAATCCAAAACCAAAAAAATGAGCAGAAAAATATATTTCATTGGGTTCCGCTCATTTTGCTAGAAAATTCAACTTGAGCACATATCATTCTCCTCTCTAACTTGTTATGTTATCAATTGTACTATTTTTAAGCAACAAAATTACAGACCAAGTGAGAGTTAAAAGCTTCTTATACGATGCATCTAAACTCATTCATGCAGTCCAACTTGTATAAATGATTTATTCCATATCAAGCTTTTGTCTATGCAATCAATTTTCTTTCAATCATTCTAGAAAATAGCATTAAAAACTTTGAACCTAGTCAGTTCATAAACAGATACCTAATTTCAAAATCAAAAAAGCAAGACAAAATAATCAGAATTACAAAATGGCTGATATAACTACAAATGAAACATCAAAGTACACAAAAATCAAAACCCACACTAGAGTTAAGTCCAAGCAGACACCTTGATACATACATACCCACGAAAAGTGCTTTGTAGACAAAGAGATGCGTTGATGTTAAGGTGCTTTCCTTTCACGCAAAATGCAATAGTCATTCTTTCTGCTTGAGTAATTCAGATTATTTTAACAGTGATTTGATCAACATTTCAAATTCATAAGTTCAACTGTTCAAGTGTATATATTCATGTCTAAATCCACTAACAGATAACAAGAGAAAAATATATTAGCATACAAAAACCAAAGATGGCCCCCTAAACATTATGCAATCGATGAGCAATGTCAAAGAGTTCTCAAGGCCTAGTTCACAAGATCAGTCAGGGTGAGAGTAATTGCAGTCAAAATATCAAATATACAAATCCAGTGAGAAAAATCATATCAAAGGGGAAGTTTAGCATTTTCAGCTGGGTGAACTACATATCAAAGTTACTTAAAAGACCCAACAAATCTACACCCAAATGTGCTATTCTTGAGTCAATTACAAAAGAGAGAACTAAAAATAAAACTAACGCTGAATGTTAAGCATGTCCTTAGCCTCACTCTGTTCCTCCAAGAGACCCTCACTAACATACTTATTCAACAGCTCCTTCTTCTTCTTCTCAAGAACCATCCTCTCAATCTCCTTCTCATCAGGCAGCGGCACGTGCACAACAAACTCCCTCTCCTTCTCCTCCAACCTCTCCCTCATCTCCCTCTCCCTCCTCCTCTCCTCATCCACCACATCCTCCTCCTCCTCACGAAGCAGCTCCCTCACTGCCGCAGTCACCTCCACAACCTCCCCACTCTTCACACCCTTCCTCGCCTCCTTCCTTATCTCCTCCAACCGCCGCCACTCCTCCGCTGTCTCGTGACGCATCTTCTTCTCAGCAGGGCCCTCCACGCGCACAACTACACCATCCTCCTCATCCCTGTAGCCATAATAACTTGCATCAATCCGCTTATAAATGTCGTAGCGGGTTCGCCGCTTCCGAAGCTCCGGCGGCTTCTCGAAAAGCTCCCGGACGCCAGGGAGTTTCTTCGCGGCGCCGAAGTAGCGGTAACCGGGGCCACGGCCACCAGGGTTGGGGACATCGACTATGTTGCCGTCGAGGTCGGTCATCTTGGCGGAGTGTCTGGCATATTTGGGGCCGCCGAGTTCGTCGATTCGGCGCTCCCAATGGGATTTCTCGCGGATGAGTTTGTTGATCTCGTCGTTGAGGTCGCGGAGGCGGTGCTCGCCGAGTCCCTCGTTTTGGATCTCGGCGACCTTGCGGCCGATCTCGCGCATGATCTGCTGGCGCCACTTGTCAGCATCTGATAGGTCGCGGCACTCGGAGGCCAAGAAGGGCCTTCGTTCCTTCGGTTTCTTCTTCTCCTCCGCCTTCAGAGTGATGAACCTGTTCAGCATAGACTGCGCTTTCTCTTCGTTACGAGCCATCTTTTTCTTCTTCTTCCTTAGCCCCTCTGTTTCAGCTTCACTACTCTCCCTTCAGATTGTGAGTGAAAAACCCTAGGGAGAGAGAAGAGAAGGGAATAAAAACTAATCTCCAAATATGATGTGGCAACGGCATTAATGGCTGCCGTTCAGCTGAAATTTTTAGATTTGATGAAAAAAATTCAAGAAAGCACTTAATTTTCTGATTAATGAAATTTGATTTAAATCGTATTTATTTCACGTTCAGTTTTGCTGAGGGATGTATTGGATTAAAATTTTAAAAGATTTTTTTATGATAATTTTTTTTATAGATTTTAAAAGATTATTTAGAATTGGATAGACTTTAAAGACTTTTTCAAAAGATTTTTTTTACCATGAATATTTCATAAGATTGAATTATAAAATATTTTAATAGAATTTATAAGATTTGAAAGAACAATATGAATTTATAAAATTTTAAAAAGTCATACGAATTTTTAACAAACATTCAAAAAAAGGGAAAGGTTATATTTACAATCTATTTTTTTTTACAACATTGAAAGAGATAAATTGAACAAGTATGGCCTACAATCATATCTTTACCGTTGATTTCAGTCAATCAACGGTTATCATTCATTTCATATTAAATATTAATTAATAAGTTTGATTTGCGAAAATAATACTCATTGATTGACAAAAATCAATGATCAAGATATGGTTGTAAAATGTTGTAAACAAAAATAAGTTCTAAGTATAACTTTCCCTATAAAAAAATAACAAAGAAATGCAATGAAATTAATAAAAAAAAAGTAAAACCTAATATAATTTTCTCAATCAGTAAAACATAATATAATTTTTAACAAACATTCAGAATTACTAAACAACAACTTTTCACATATCTAGAGTTAGGGGAAGGATATACTTACCACAAAAAATATTTACTACCCTTACAACCAACTTAATCACCGTTGATTTCTGTCAATCTAACAGTTATACTTTATTAAAAATTATTGAGTTGTACTTATTAATTAATTATTAATTCTCAATAAATTATAACCGTTACATTGACGGAAATCAACGGTGATTAGATTGGTTGTAAAGGTGGTAAATATTTTGGGTGGTAAGTTTATCCTGCCCCCTAAAGTTATATTAGACCTCCATGCATTAGCATTTTCTCATTCGTGCTCTTGGGTTTGACCAATGGGTTCAAAATGATCTTCTTCATTTGGTATCAAAGCTATGCATATATAATTATAAGATCCAATTTTTTAATTATTAAAATAATTCTAAATTTGCATTTAGAATCTAAAGTTCATGGTAAAATTTCGTTTAGAATTTTTTGGAATTGAAACATAATATAATTTTTAACAAATATTCAAAATTACTAAACAACATTTTTTCACATATCTAAAGTTATATTAGTCCTCCATGCACTAGCATTTTCTCATTTCTACTCTTGGGTTTGACCAATGGGTTGAAAATTATCTTTTTCATTTGGTATCAAAGCTATGCATGTATGATTATAAGACCCAATTTTTTTTTATTATTAAAATAATTCTAAATTTGTATATAGAATCTAAAGTTCATGATAAAATTTCGTTTAGAATTTTTTGCAATTGATCTTGAAAATCTTGGAGTTTTTGTTTTACGTGATGAGAATTTTCTAACCATATATAATATGCATATTTTCATTTAATATTCTCAGAAAATTTCGAATCTGAATTTTTGGGTTTTATTACAATAAAATTTAGAAAATTTCTCAAATTTTTTTCAATCGATACATTGAAACCTTAAATTGCTTTGGGGCTTTTGAAAAACAAATTTTTAGTTATCTATTGACACAAAAATTATTTGAAATCGTTTCTTATAGTGAAGGAATTTCATTCATGAATGTATTGTTACGAAATATATGGTTCATATTATGAAAGTTTCAATCTTTCTTTAAATTGATATTGTTTCATATAATTGTTTTCTTATTTTTAGAAGTTTTAATGTTGATTAGTCTTTAATCAGCAATCTTTATCTTTAGAATATCAAAAAGATTTCAACCACCGTTTGTGGCATCTTCGACGAATCACGGTCTTTCCAACTTAAACCTGAACATAGTAAAGGTCCTCAGAGCCTTATTCAGCTATTCGTTAATGGGTCTCGTTGTTCTCGACGAGGTTTGCATCATAAGACTTGTGGGAAGAACCATCAAGGAGTATGTTGTGCGAGACATAATGTTTGTTTTAAATGTGCAAAGCCAAGCCACTTTGCTAGAGAATGTTCTTAGGGTACACTAAGAGTGCAAATGTACAAACTACTGCAGTACCAGCAGCTTCAGGGCCTACAACCATAGGCAGAGTCTATACATTGGATTATTAGAAAGCAGAGGAAGCTCCCGGTTTGATAAAATGTACAATTTATGTAAATGGTTGTGATGTGAGAGTCTTGTTGACTCGAGAGCTACCCGCTCTTTTGTAGTAAGGCCATGTGCTGCAAGGTTGCATTTGCCTTTGTCTGAACTTTCTCATCCTTTGGAGATTGTTACCACCACTGGTGGGAAATGTTTTACTTATGCAGTGTGTAAAAATTGTCTATTCCAATATGAAAGACGTGACTACACTGTCAATTTAGTATGCTTACAAATGTTTAGTCTTGAGATTATTCTTGGAAATGATTGGTTGGCCAAGAATTGTGTACTAATTGATTGTTGCAGTAAGAAGAAAGTAATGTCTCCCAAGAATTTGGTTGAGAGTCCTTTGCCTTATTTGTCAGTACTTCAAGTCAAATAGGCATCGAAGGAAGGATCATTTGGTTTTGTCCTTTTGGGTGGCCTGCTGAGTGTTACTTAAGAGGATATTACAACTATTCCAGTATTAGGGAATTTGTGGATGAATTTCTAGAGGAGATTCCACACTTCCCAGAAAAGAGAGAGATTAGATTCTCCATTGATTTATTGCTTGATGTGAGACCTATTTCAATCCTATTTCCATTGAAATCATATTTGATCCTCATTATAAAATTGATCACTTCATACATCTGTATCATAAGTTTCCTTAGTGTTTGTAGTGTTCAAAGTATAATTATGTTACCATTTTACACTGCTATTGCTAAGAAATATTAGGAATAACTCAATCAACTTTTCCATGAAACTAAAAAGAGGAAGTATAATAACCCAAACCAATATAATGACAATTTAAACCCCATGATTAAAAGAGATTAATTAGATGCAGAATCTAATTTTACAGTTTAAATCACTTTTCAAATAAAAGTACAATTATAGAGATTTTTTGAGTAAAAATGCAGTGTTGCAAAAGTTACTGTAAACTTAAAAATGATTTGGTGAGAAATTATTTCATTATTTTAGTGAAAGTTAAAATTCATGTTAGATGATTAAATTCATGGATTATGAGATAAAACACGTTAGAAATATTAAGTGATTTGGCTAGAATAAAATTAAAAAAGAAAGGGCAAGTAGGTAAATGACTATGTTTTAAATTGTTCACCAAGTCAACTATAGTTAAATGAGTTAAACACACTTCATTAAGCTCCAAAACACAACACTCCATCGACATTCTTCCTCAAAAAAATCATGGAAGCCATTTTCTGATATGAACATCTAGAGAAGTGGGGGAATTGGATCGCCTAGGGATGGGATTTATGCCGAAAATTCAGCCCCAAAATGTTCTATTAACAATTGATCACATCTTAAGCTACACACCTCGGGATTCAGCGATTCCAAAATGACATGAAAGTTCACATTCTGAAACGCGAATTGCGCCTCTTCTCTAAGCCTAGAAATGGCGTATCGTATGCCTTTCTCTTATACTAATAGCTCTTTTATCTGAGTAGTCCACAGACGATAGTGGGGTTAGTCGTCCAGAGCGAGCCTCTATCCTAACATAACGACAAATATGGACTCAGGATCAAGCACGTCGATAAGATGCTCAGTTTTGCACAACATAGGGATTAGCACGCTAGACCCAAGAATCACCGAAAAAGTTCGAGTATAACGCGAGTTATGATCTAAGATAGATTGGAACAAAAATTGAGGATTTAGGGATTTATTCTGTTGGACTTTGTGAATGAAATTAAATTAAAAACTAGAAATTGGAAGGCGCCACAGTCCAAGGATTGATAAGTCGATGAACACCACAAGGATAAGCACCCTTGATAAGTTCAGAGATTCTCAAAAGAACCTAAGAGAACTAGTCTCACCAAAAAGGTTTTAACTTGAAATCTGCAATCTCCATTCTAAAAGCTATTGTTTACCCTTTTATTGTGGGCAGCAACCATAATGAGTCCAATACAAATATTGTTGCCCCGGAGTCTTTCTACAACTCGTCCGCTCTTACCACGTCCCAAGTTAGGGAAGTGGAAGAATTGGAGCTTTGTTGTTTGAAGATGGCCGGGTTGGCCAGGCCCTTGCTTACTCTTAAGCAAAAGTATATGCGTTCGTTAAGTGAGGCATCTATATCCCGGGAGGAGAAGGCCAAAACTTATGCTGAACTTCTAAAGGTGAAGGATGATTTGTCCTCTTTGAAAAAGGACTATGATGACACCACTGCCAAGCTGACCAAGATTAAGGCTGAATACGGGAAGTTTCGAGATGAGAAGGCTGCTGAGGCCGTAAGGATGCATGACTTCCGGAGGATGTACGAAAAAAATGGAGGATAAGCTGAAGGAAGCTGAGCGTAATGCCCAACTCTACCAACGTGAACTTGAGAATCAACTCCAAGTACTGAGTCAACTCCAAGTACTGAATCCAGATGTTCCTTTGAACCTGGTCGGCTTGAATGCTCATGCTTATGTTAGCAATGGCCAAATCATTTCTCTTGCTGCCACCTTTCCTTCCCGTGTTTCGGCTACACAATCCGACAAAGGCGCTACCGTTGAGGATGGTGAGAAGGCAACTAACCAGCCCGGAAAGGAAGTTGAGTCGGCCAATCAATTCGGCAAGGAAGTCCCGGTGTCGGAAGATCCTCCTGCCAACAAGACTACATGAAGGGCCGGAATGCCGGTTGGCTTTGTAATTTGTTTGGGGGTATTGGGCCCCGTTTTGTTTTATCCTGAATATTGTTGGTTTTACTCCGGTTTTAATTTTGCTCATTAAGCATTTCTCTTTTCTTCGCATTTCCTGCTTTATGATTGGAGGTTTTGCATTTGTTATTTTCGATTTCACCATAGATGCATTTTATCTAGGTATTCGAGTTTGCATAACCCGATATGTCGTTATAGAGCCGCATTCACTTTTGTTAAAAGTCTAGCTTGTGTTTGCATTATCTAAGCGAATAAGTTAGCCTTTTTGCGCATACGTTAATCCTTGTCCGAGTTGTCCCTTAGCATGCTACTCGGGTCACAACTCGGATTATCTTTCCTTTCAAAATCCGGCTTTTTCCAAGTTATGTAAGAAATCTTATTCAAGTTGAATTCCGAGTTTACCGGATGCAACTCCAACTTGAATACATGTATCTAACCCGTGCATTTTACGGGTTTTATACTGGTTTTACTTGAGTATCTTACACCACTTATTGGTGTAATCTTTCAACCCAATGTAGTTTACTAAACCCGTGCATCTTACGAGTTCTTTGTTCATGATCTGGCCGAGGTCAAAGCATTGTACGGATTTCGCTTTATGTCATTCTCGATGACGCATGTTTGTTTAACTTACTCGTTCTGGTAAGCCTGTATGAATAATGGATCTCGTCTTTGTTGACTTAACCATTTAATTGAACTTGAACTTCATAATTCAATTTTATCTAAGGTAAAAACAATAATGTCATTTGTCCCTTTTGGTATCTTGACCAAAATGGGGAACATTTCGACCTGATCAGAGTCATTACGACAAATTGTATTTGTACCTCAAATTTTGTATTGATGCATCAAAAATAGACAAGGATAGATCTTTAAAAAGAAAAATTCCTCATTTATTGATATCAAATTGCGAGCTACATGAATTTGCCGGCATATTCGGCTTTAATTAAATCCCTAATAGAGGAAAATGTAATTGAATAGTACTGCAAGTGGGTGAAGGTAGATCCCGGATTTAGCTGTAGTATATCTTCAGCTTATCCGCATTCCAGGTTCTCTTGATTCCTTTGCCTTCTATTGCTTCTAGGACGTAAGCTCCTTTCCTGAGCTTCTCTTTAACCCGATACGGGCCTTCCCAGTTTGCAGCTAGCTTTCCATCTCTGGCATTTTTATTGCCAATATCTGCTTTACTGAGTACCAAGTCATTTTTCTCAAAGATTCTTAGTCTCACTTTTTTATTATACTTTGTCGTTGTTTGTTGTTTGCTCATCATATCCCGGCAGTGAGCTGTAACCCTGGCTTCGTCTACAAGATCTAACTCTTCAGTAAGCAGCTTGTTGTTTTGTTGCTCGCCCTGTTCAAGACTATTCAGTCTTCTCCAGGAGGGTTCTCCAACTTCCACCGGAATCATGGCTTCACATCCATGCGTTAGTCTGTAAGGGGTTTCACCTGTCGCAGTTTGGGTACTTGTTCTGTAACCCTAGAGGACAAAGTATAGCTGTTGAACCCAGCTTTCTTCAGCATCAAACATTCATTTTTTGAGACCGTTCACAATCACTTTGTTGGCTGCTTCGGCTTGCCCATTCGATTGTGGGTGTTCCACAGATGCGAAGCGATGTGCGACTTGCAGGTCTTTCATTAATTGTTGAAATCTCTTATCAGCAAATTGTGTTCCATTATCAGTGACCACCTCGGCTGGTATTCCAGATCTGGAAACAATATTCCGTTCAAAGAACCTTTGCACTCTAGCCGAGGTGATTATGGTGACTGGCTCTGCTTCTATTCATTTAGTGAAATAATCCACAGCCACAATCAACCACTTAAGTTTCCCCTCAACAACTTTGAAGGGTCCCAGTAAATCCATACCCCATTTGAAGAAGGGTCATGGAGCCGAGATGCATTTCAGTTCTTCAGGTGGTGAAAGGATTAACCTGGCATGCTTCTGGCAGCTGTCACATTTCTTGACGTGTTCTTCAGAGTCTGCCTCCATTGTCGGCCAGTAATAACCAGCTCTAAGGGCTTTTCCTTCCATGTGATGGCCGTTGATTCCTTCAGGGATCTCGGTGAGGACATATTCTGCTCCTTCCGAGCTCATACACTTTAGCATCCCCATGTGCAAACCCTTTCTAAATAGCTTGTCATTCACAATTGTGTATTGTGCCGCATCTCGGACCAGCTTTCTAGATTCCAGATGATCTTCTGACAATATTCCTTTTTCCAGGTAATCCACTATGGGTTTCCTCCAGTCATGTGCCAAGGTTATCACCATCATGCAACTCGGCATTGCTATGCTTTGTTGAACCACAGTTCTGTGGTTACCCAGACTTTTGGTGCTTGCCAACTTTGACAAGATGTCAGCTCGGCTATTCTCCCCTCGAGGGATGTGAGTGACCTGCACCTCATCAAAATCGGCCATCATTTCCTGAACTTTACTCAAGTACTTCATCAACAGAGGACCTTTGGCCTGGTATTTTCCTTCTATTTGCGAAGTCACCAGCTGTGAGTCACTGAAGACTTGAACCTTTCTAGCTCCGTGTTCTTTAGCTTGCATCAACCCGGCTATCAAAGCTTCATACTCAGCTTGATTATTTGAAGTTGGGAATCCCAAGTTCAAGAAGTGTTCAATTGTTACTTCTTCTGGGCTTTCTAGTATGATTCCAGCTCCACTTCCTTTATTGTTGGAGGATCTATCCATGTAGACCTTCCATGCCCCCCCAGACTCCTCATGTTCCGGGTTTAATGGTGTCAGCTCCATTATGAAGTCGGCCAGAGCTTGTGACTTGATGGCCTTTCGACTTTCATATGCTATATCGTACTCACTAAGCTCAATTGCCCAGTTAGTCATTCTTCCTGCCAGGTCCGGCTTATGCAACACCTGTCGTATCGGCTGATTGGTCCTGACGATTATCTGATGCCCCTGAAAATATGGCCTCAATCGCCTGGCCGTGATCAGCAAAGAAAAGGCCACCTTTTCTAGCATTTGATACCTGATCTATGCACCTTGTAAGGCTCTACTAACAAAATAAATCGGCTCTTGGCCTTCGTTAGTTTCCTTGATCAGAACAACACTTATTGCCTCCTCCCCCACAGCCAAATACAGGATTAGAATGTCTCCTGGGTCTGGCTTTGAGAGCACTGGTGGAGTTGCTAAGCATTTCTTGACTTTGTCGAATGCGGCTTGGCACTCCGGGTTCCATCCTTCTATTGCTTCCTTCTTTAATAAATTAAAGAATGGAAGGACATTCTCAGCAGACTTCGGCAGAAATCGGGTTAGCGCAGCTAATCGACCGGTTAACTGCTGAACTTTCTTTTTGTTTTGGGGTACTTTCATATCAAGTACTGCCTTGCATTTGTCAGGGTTCGCTTCGATTCCTCTATGGGTTAGAATGAAACCCAAAAACTTCCCAGCCGGGACTCCAAATGCACATTTTACCGGGTTGAGGCGAATACGATACTTCTTGAGCTTTTGAAATGTCTGTTCAAGATCCCGGACATGATTCGTTATGTCAAATGACTTTACGATCATATCGTCAATGTATACTTCCACATTCTTGCCCAACTGATCTTTAAACACTTTATTCATCATCTCTGATAGGTTGCCCCTAAGTTTTTAAGCCCGAATGGCATTACATTGTAGCAATAATTGGCTTTTTCAGCAATAAAAAAGCGATTTTTTCTTTATCCCCCGGGTACATTGGAATCTGGTTGTATCCCGAGTAGGCATCCATGAAGGACAACAAACGAAATCCAGCTGAGTTATCTACCAACTGGTCTATGTTAGGCATATGATAAGAATCCTTTGGGCAAACTTTGTTCAAGTCCGTGTAATCAGTACAGACTCTCCATTTCCCATTTGGTTTTTTCACCATCACCACATTTGCCAGCCATGTTGTGTACTGTACCTCCAGAATGAACCCGGCATCCAAAAGCTCCTTAACGTGTTCTTCTAGAACTTGTTTCCTTTCTGGTCCCATCTTTCTTTTCTTTTGGGAAACCGACATGGATCCCGGATAAACTGCCAGCTTGTGGCAGCAGAAGGCGGGATCGATGCCCGGGATCTCATACGACTTCTAAGCGAACACATCTGTGTTGCTCTTGAGGAAATCGGCCAATTCTTCTTTAACTTGGGGATCTATGGTCTTACCAATTCGGGTAAATTGACCAGGTTATTTTCCCAATGTGAGATTTACTAGAAAAGAAGATTTGTATATAATTGAATTGTATAATATTTGTACAAGAGTTCTCTATTTAAAGAGACTAAAAAACCTAATGGGCTAAGCTCAAATACACTTATAGAGTACAACATAATAATAAAATAATTCTATTATTTACAATACTCCCCCTCAAGCTGAGGAATGGATATTTATCATTCTCAGCTAGGTAGTAAGTTCTTGAAATCTATCATTAGGAAGACCCTTGGTTAAGACATCAGCCAATTGACGACCAGAAGGAATATATGGAGTAGTGATCAGTCCACTGTCTAATTTCTCTTTAATGAAGTGGCGATCAATCTCAATATGTTTGGTTCGATCGTGTTGATTTGGATTGTGGGCTATACAAATAGCTGACTTGTTATCACAAAGTAACTTTATAGATCCTTCATATCTCACTTTGAGATCATCTAGAATGATTTTCAGCTATAATAACTCACAGATACCTTGAGCCATAGCTCAAAATTCTGCTTCTGCACTTGATCTAGCAACCACATTTTGCTTTTTACTTCTCCATGTTATAAGATTTCCACAGAGAAACATATAATAGCCTGAAGTAGACCGTCGGTCAGTCACAGATCCAGCATAATCGGCGTCTGTATAAACTTCTAAGGATAAGTTTCCTCCTCTCTGGAACAATAGTCCTCTACCTGGTGTGCCTTTCAGATATTGGAGAATCCTGTCCACAGCTCGCAAGTGTTTCTCCCTTGGATCATGCATAAATTGACTAACAACACTAACTGCATAAGCTAGATCAGGTCTAGTATGAGCTAGATATATCAATCTGCCCACTATTTGTTGATATTGTCCTTTGTCAACTGGAGAGCTCTCATTTTCACTTCCTAGTCTGTGATTCTGCTCAATCGGAGTACTGGAAGGTTTACACCCAAGTTTTCCTGCTTCTTTAAGGAGGTCAAGAACATAGTTCCTTTGACAAATAAATATCCCTTGCTTAGAATGAGCAACTTCTATCCCAAGAAAATATCTCAGTTTTCCAATATCTTTAACTTCAAATTCAGTACTCAATCTTTTTTTCAGAGCACATTTCTCACCTATATCATCCCCTGTTATAATAATGTCATCAACATAAACAAGAAGGATAGTGGTCTTACCTTCCTGAGAATGTTTAAAGAAAAGTGTATGATCCCCTTGGCTTTGCTTGTATCCCAATGAAAGCATAACTTTGGTAAATCTTCCAAACCAAGCACGGGGGGATTGCTTCAAACCATACAACGCCTTCTTTAACCTGCAAACTTTATTATCTCCATTTGTAGAGTTAAATCATGGTGGAATCTCCATGTAAACCTCCTCTTCTAATTCACCATTGAGGAAAGCATTTTTAACATCAAATTGGTTCAAATCCCAGCTAAAATGAGCAGCGAGGGACAATAGAACTCTTACAGTGTTCATTTTGGCCACTGGAGCAAATGTTTCTTCGTAATCAATGCCATAGGTCTGTGTGTATCCCTTGGCTACCAATCGAGCTTTATACCTCTTAAGAGTCCCATCAGAATTATACTTCGGAGTATACACCCATCTGCACCCTACTGTCCTTTTTCCATTTGGCCTGCCAACAACTTCCCATGTATTATTCTTCTCCAATCCATTCATCTTCTCATGCATGGCTTGAACCCAATTATCATCCTTTAATGCTTCATGTACTAATTTCGGGATTGAAATGGAGTCAAGTGTTGTAATAAAACTTCTATGCCGCAGAGAGAGATTCTTAGAGGAGACAAAATGAGAAATAGGGTGTTGGGTACAAGACCTTTTCCCTTTTCTTACAGCAATGGGTAAGTCATCAGAATTAATATCAGGCTCAAGAATAAAAGAAGTAGTGTGTTCAGTACTTACCAGCGGTTCAGGCGATTACAATTGCTGATGAGGCAGTGTGGGTTGTTTCTTCCTTTGGTAGAATAGTTCAGGTGTCCTAGCTTTGCGTACTTTCTGTCTATCAATAGGAGGCATGTCACATGAGGAATCAGATGAATTTTCAACCTCAGCAATTAAGTCTTCCTTCTCATTGTCATGTCGTGTAACTACTGGAGTAGAAGATGTAGGTGACCGAAAGGGAGACTCAGACTCGAAGAAAATGGATGAAGCTTCTACACTATTCTCCCCCTGAAGCTGAGGGTGTAGAAAGTAAGACTCGGATTCATGGAAGCTAACATCCATAGAGACAAAGAATTTACGACTTGGAGGGTGGTAACATTTGTATCCTTTCTTGTTGGGAGCATAACCAAGGAAGACACACTTAAGGGCTCTAGGCTCTAATTTACTCCGATGTTGTTTATGGATATAGACGAAGGCAACACATCCAAAGATACGAGACTGAAGACTTTGCATAATTGGAATAAAAGGAAAAAGAGAGGTCATGAGATCAACAGGACTTACATGGCCAAGGACTCTGGAAGGCAAGCGGTTGATCAAATAGGCTGCAGTTAATAAGGCTTCTCCCCAGTAAGAGTTGGGTACAGATGTTTGAAACAATAATGCTCTTGTGACTTCAAGCAAATGTCGATTTTTTCTTTCAGCAACCCCATTATGTTGAGGGGTATCCATGCATGTGAGCTCATGAATCATACCCTTATCTGAAACGAATTGTGACAGGCGCTGGTTGACATACTCCGTACCATTGTCAGATCTTAATCTCTTAATACTTTTACCAAACTGTGTCTCGATCATTTGATAAAATCGAATAAACAATTCTGGTACTTCTGACTTGTCTTTCATCAAGAATATCCATGTCACCCGAGTGCAATCATCAATAAAAGAAACAAACAACCTAGCACCTGAAATATTATGTACTTTAGACGGGCCCCAAACATTTGAATAGACAAGAGTAAAAGGCTCAATGCTCTTTATTGAACTTGAAGGAAGGGGCACACGATGGTGTTTCGCAAGCTCACAAACATCACAATGGAAGGAGTCAATTGCCCGATCCTTAAACAAAGAAGGAAACATTGACTTCAATAAGCCAAATGACGGGTGCCCCAGGCGTTTGTGATGAAGCCAAATCTGTGAGAATGAAGTAGACGGGTGATGACTCATTAATAATTGATTCCCGGTATCCCTTGTAGCATGCTCTGGAATGAGATAGTACAACCCACCTTGCTCCTTAGCAACTCCAACCGTCCTCCCCGTGGTGATATCCTAAATAACACAATGAGTAGGAAAAAATATGACAGCACAATTCATGTCAGTTGTAAGCTTATAAGTGGAGATAAGATTGGTAGAGAGCTGAGGAACATAAAAAACATTCTTTAAAAATAAAGAAGGTTGAATTTTAATGTTTCCAAAACTCACAACTGATTTAGGGGATCCAACAGCTACAGCTATAGTACGGATACCACTAGTAGGGTGATATGAAAGAAAAGAATCAGCTAGACAGGTCATATGATCAGTTGTACCAGAATCCATAATCCATGAATTTCTGAAATGAGTGCAAGATGAAAGAAGAGATGTAGGGTGTATGATCCTACCAAACATAGTTGATCGGAAAAATAAAATAAATTTTTCCTTTTTTTCTGGGTGAACAGTGTCACGTGAACAGTGCGCGATGAACAGTGTCGCGTGATGAACAGTGTCGCGTGAACAGTACCCCGGTGAACAATACATTTTTTTTCTAGAGCTGTTCCAGTCGTTTGATGAAAAAGAAACATCCGTAGAATGATAGATATGAGAAAACAGAGTGAAACAAGGGTCCTCACGGTCCAAAAGGTCCCCGAAATTTTTTTCCGGCGGCGGCTTTGTAGCGGCGGCGAGAGGCAAAAGGGTTTAATTTTTTAGAGGTAGTGATTTGCGGAAGCAGAGCCCTCAGAATCGAGAGCTCTGATACCAAGTAGAAAAAAGATTTGTATATAATTGAATTGTATAATATTTATACAAGAGTTCTCTATTTAAAGAGACTAAAAAACCTAAGGGGCTAAGCCCAAATACACTTATAGAGTACAAAATAATAATAAAATAATTCTATTATTTACAATAGATTTTCTAGTTCTCCATCAGGTTCGGGTCTCGGTATTATCTCTTCTCTTATGTCGAGTTCAACCACATTAACAGGCTTCCTGGAGTGGTGCGGGATTGCGTTCTTGCCTTGTTTATCCCCTGCATGAATTCAGGGTAGGCTTGCATGTCCATCTTCATTGTCCTTGACGGTGTCAAAATAGCATCCTCTGGACTCCTTTTGATCTCCACAAACAGTAATTATTTCATCTTACTGCTCAGCATCTTTATATTTTGATGTTTCGTAGAAACCAGCATGTCCCACTGGTGTATAGTTGGTCTCCCGAGAATTATATTATATTCTGACGGGAAGTCGGCCACTATAAATCTTACCCGTTCTAATTTGAACGCTTCTTTAGTTCCCAGGGTCAATCTGAGATCTATGTAGCATTTAGGAGGTGTATGCTCTCCATTAAAAGCTATCAAAATTGTTTTGCAAGGTTTGAGGTCCTCCTCATCCAGGTTCATCTTTTTAAAAGCGTCCCACAGTATGATGTCGGCACTACTCCCTGCATAAAAAAAAATCTTCTTAACCCGGCAGTTTACCAGGGTTCCTGCAATGACTAGTCCATCAACATGTCCCGGCAATACACCATGCACGTCTTCCTTTGTAAAATACAACAAAGGAGGATCTGGTTTGCTTGGGTCTTCATTGATTTTAGGACGGTCTCGAATTGAAAAGACCTCTTTCAAGTACTTCCTTCTTGCACTTATGGTGTCACCCCCTCCTCCAAGGGCTCCACTGATTACGTTGCAATCGAATTCCGCTTCCGGGAACTCGTCAGGGTTGGAATCCTCTTTATGGTTCCTTTTGTCTTTGTTTTTCTTCTCAGGAACTGGGCTTTTACTTCTTTTTCTGTTTCCAGACTTCCTTTTTCTGGAGCCCTGAGTTTTGATCACGTAATGGCGTAATCGTCCATCTCTCACAAATTTCTCCACAACATCTCGGAGATCCCAGCATTGATCAGTTGTGACCCATTCCATCATGGAAAGCCCAGTATTTAGACCTGTCCAAACCTCCTCTGTCAAATATGGGCCGGGGTCCGTCTACTTTCTTCATCTCCATCATTACCACTTCTTTCCAGATTTACGTGCGCGACACATTCAATGGTGTATATTTGTCGTACCTTCCAACTCGATCTCTTGTGTCCGGGATTCTGGCCCTAGGATCTTTTTTCTTATTATCAACTCGCTCTTTTCCTTTCGGGGCCGTGCTTCTTCTTCTGCTTGGGCTAGCTCTTTTTCCCTCTTCTGATTGCCCTTTTGCAATCTCCATTTGCTCCAGTTCGAGGTATTTCTTCGAACGAGTTCTGAATTCCTCCAACGTCCTCACTGGGTCTTTATAGACCGACTTGGTCATCCTGGATGCACCATCCAGACCTGCCACAATGAGGTGTACGTGGACATTCTCTTGCAACCCAGGGACCTGCAATGCAGCGTCCTTGAACCGGTTAAGGTATTTCTGGAGGGTTTTTCTGGGTTGCTGTCGTATCTTTCCAAGTTCGAACTCGGACTTCGGATGCTTTTTGCTGGTCGCAAAGTTTAAGAGGAATTTCTGCCCAAATTCCTCGAATGATCCGATGGAATTAGCAAGAAGAGTTGAAAACCATGCCTGCGCTGACCCAGTTAGGGTTATTGCAAATATCCGGGATATGAGGGGTTCATCAATTCCCCGGATATACATGTTCGTGTCGAAAGCGTCTATATGGACTTGTGGATCTTGACTTCCATCATACTTTAGCAAGCGTGCCGAGTTGAAGTCCTCTGGGAAGGGAGCATTCAGTATTTCACCAGTAAAGGGGCTATTGTTATACTGCCCTCTGTTGTACTTCCTTCTGTACCCGCCGGATTCCACACGTCCTCGGGTGATCTGAGCATTCTGATTGGGATGAATCCTATCCCGGTCCTCCTGGCCATTAGCTTGTGCCTGATGATTTTGAGCATTTTGGGCATCATCCGCCTGGTTTCCTTGGTCCGGGTTCGCTGCGTTGGCCAGGTTGAGCCTTTCATGATTTTCCACCTCAGGAATCCGGTTCTGTTGAATCAGATTGTGAGTTCCTTCCCGGCCATTGGCAGACTGGGCTTCAGTTTCTGTCACTCCTGGTCCAGTCATCTGTGTTAAGCGTTGTTCCAGGTCTCGCATTCCCCTATTATTTTCCTCTCGTATCGTCCGGAAATCTTGCTGCCGTTGCAGATTATTACGAGTTTCCAATTCTGCAATTCGCTCCATGATCGCAGCAAATGCGTTATTAGCCATTCGAGTATCTGGGTCGGTTGATTGGGCAATACGCGCAGCAAGATCTCCAGGATGCTGGGAAGGGTTGTTCCTTATCGGAACCATGATTGTGTCAGCCCCCTATCTCGACGCGCTGGAGTAGATGCGGTGTCTGAGATGTCGTCCTCAACCTAGACATGGTCATAGTCCACGTCGTTTCCTTGCTGGTTCTGAGGTTGATTTGCCTCTTCCAGGACTGGATCCAGCGATTGGTTCTGGTTCTGGGATAATTGTTGGTTACTACTCCTTATCTGGATTGCCATCCTTTTTCAGGTTAGTGGGAACTTCCGATTCAAAGAAGAATTTTCCCACACACGGTGCCAATGTTCTGTCCTTGAGACAGAGATGTCCTACCCAATAGACTGATATGTTTCTCTTGGATCTAGTGCCCTCTCCAAGGTATCTATGAAGTAGATACCCTTGAGTCAAGCAGATCACTGTGCACAGAATACTATAACGGCATTAGCCAATGGGGTGTGTGTGCGCGCACAGTGACAACATAACAGTAAGAGAGAGAGAGAGCGTACATACCTTTAGGGTTTACCTTGTATTTATAGAGGTTACCTGTGGGTAGGATGGATGGGCCTTTGGTGCCTCTGATGAGGGCCTTGGCCTGCTTGCTACGCTATCGTATTAGGATTAGTATCCTTGACGGATACTATCCTTTATTAATATCAATCCATATATTGGATTGCCCCTTGTTAGACTTATCACTTAATGAATCCCTTATATGGGTCCATAACACTTAACATTTTTTCCCTACCTGGCTTTCCCGATCATTCACGAATAAATCGCGTACCAAACGCTTTCTAATTGTATCATTTGGTATCGTCTACGTGTTGATGATATATATGGATCCATCATTATAATCAATATGAATCGTTTAACCGTAAACTTGTAACAAGGACGCGAATGCTACGCAATCTCAATCTCAAGCTTTTCCAACTAAAACACAAAAGTATTAATATACTTTGTTCGATTAGTATTAATGTAATTTGTTTTAAATCCTTCAGTCCTGACTAATGATAAGGATGGAAGGAACTGAAGAAGTTTTTGATATTTCGAAGCAAAATGATACTATATATTGTGGCATCATTTATATTACTGTTCATTCCATCCTTTTACATTTTATGTTAATATATATGTATATATTTTAGATTTAATGTCTATCATATTATAGAAGATAAAATCATCTTTTAAACACAAAAAAAAAAATATAAGACCCATATTTTTTTTTCCTCTCTTCTCCTCACATGATCACATATAAGCACACACTTTTATGTATATTTTAAATAAAATGATGGCTAAAAAGTTTAAACATATAATCTAAGGGGAAACTGTTGATATGATTCACCAATAGCCAATCTTAATAGCTTATGTTATTGATATATTATATATATTTTTTATACCAATTCTAATCACATCTAAAACTTATCACCCCACTCCACCTCAAAGATGTATTTAATGAAAATCAACCCTTCCCACTCACTTAGCTTGTATTGCTAACTGAACTATACCCATTTGTTTATATTATATTGACTTTTAACACCCATATTGCATTTTGTTTTAATTACATTTATTTTAATGTACAAAATCAAAGATTTTCACGTTCTAATTGTGCTTGTGTCGCCAACACCTCCTCACTGTCCATTATGCAAAGTTGGGTTTTCAGGAGATGCCTCAGTAATTGTAAAATGAGATCTAAGGCCAATCCAACATTGGTAATAATCATGATCCAAGAATGGTGATTCGAGAGCCCATCGACTGATACGGGGTATCAAACTCGATTCAAACATAAAAGCCATTGTGTCAGTGATCTTGTGAGGTCCTACATCATTGCCACGTGCAATGGTTGCCTGTACACAAATACATATGTTACAAGAAAGATTGAATCCAACAATTCCTATTTTAACACTTTTATGCTTAAACCAAATTAGCAAATGGCGCATAACAAGGATTTCTACTTGAGAATGCAGAGTAACACAACATGGCACAAGAATGATCTTAATGTCTCCTTGATTGCTCAGAAAAACCATACCTCATATGACTTTGTATCAGGGCCATGGGGAGTCATACAGTTATGAAGACTTGCACCACCTGGAAGAAACCCATCCGCCTTAGCCTGAAAAAACAAATATTTAACCTCTCAAACCTTACGTCACATTTTCAAATTGAAGGAAAACCAAAAAAATAAAAAATAAAATGGTCTCTGCATTATTCATTCTTCAAACCCAAGGCCTTTGCGTGAGGTGATGTATTAGATATATTAATTTAAAACCATTAATGTGCTTGTCACTTGAAAACTTAAAAGACAAAGTTTTGCCTCATGTGACTAGAAATAGTTCTGCTTTTATTCCTAGTCCATACTAACAACCATTAAGATGCAAAACATATAGTGCTTCCAACAAACAATGCTTAAAAGTCAAATTTTGATATAATACATATTCACTATAGCTTTGTATAATACCTCATAGCCACCATGAATGAGGCCCATAAATTCACTCATGCAATTGCGATGATAATATGGAGGCCGGAACGTATGCTCAGCAACCAACCATCTGGGTGGGAAAATGACAAAATCAAGCAATGCCACTCCAGGTTTATCAGTTGGTGCTGTCAACACTGCATATAAGCACAATAATTGTCAAATTAAAAAAAAAAAAAAAAAAATTCCCATGAACAAAAAGAGGAAAGAAAGGGGTTAAAGGAAAATTCTTTTTAAAAAAAGCATACCAGTATTGATTGATGGATCACTATGATCGAACAGAACAGTATTGTAAGGGCAGAATTTGCTTAGATCATACTGCAAATGAAGATAAGAGTTGTCAAATTAATTAGGATGCATAATTCTTTTCACAGGAATTACAGGCCTAACAAATTGAAAATAACATGATGATAACTGTTAACATATGTCATTCTCCTGAAACAATGAAGAGAAACCTACCTTGTATGGAACATAATTACCACGCCAAGCAACAACATTGAAAGGAGAGAAATCTTGTACTGCAGCAAACAGTTCACCACCAAACTTCTGCACTATAACATACCCAGGATATGATTTATCCTCAAACCATGCAGTAGGATAAAGGAAATCCCTCGGGGCAGCAAGACCATTAGCACCTAAAATGTAAATCAAAACTCATTTTTAATATAATATATCTTTATATTTTAAGCAATAGATATGGTAGCTTAAATTCCTTAACTGCAACAGAGGTAAGTTACCTATTGGTCCCAGATCAGGTAGTTGAAAATGAGTACCAAAAATTTCAGCAACATAACCACGGGACGGACCATCAGACAGATTCACATTAAAACGAAAACCTTGAGGTAATATAGCAATTTCACCAGGGGAAACTTTCAATCTTCCACATTCAGTAGTGATGAGGAGTCCTACAAATCCAGAAGAAGGTATTACGAAAGATAACTAAAATGGAAAAGAATACTCTGCAAAAGCTGTGACACACAGGAAGATTTAGAGCATAAGTGTCATGAAATTTGTATTAGCTATGATGCCAAAGCAGATATTCATGCATGGAAGAATTCAAAACATGGTGACATCTCTTTTTTTTACATTTTCCTTCTCTACATAAAGAATCAAAGACAACTCCAATGAAAGAAATCATGGAAAATATAAACCTTACAGAACCAATTCAGAAGACATTTGTACCAGCCCTCTGAAAAACAGTACTTATCATTCAAATGCATCCTTCAATTAGGAAATTTCTTTTACATTCAAGTACTAAGAGTGCAGAGTTGCCTTTTCTTTTTGTCTGAAAGGGAAAAGGCAGTATCATGTGTTCATTGAATTCAGATTAAAAGGGAAATTATATGGGTCCAGAGAGAATCATAAGACAAGAACGTGAGGGCAATGTAATTAGCCCAAAAAAATTTCTTAGTGAACAATTAAGGAGCTTGTTATGGTCACTTACTTCCTTGTTGGGGAACTATCAAGAAGTCACCATCAGCATTGCAAAAGGCACAATTGTCCATTGATTTGTTGGCAGTGTACCTATAAGTGGCAGTACTAATGTCACCTTCAAAATTTACATTTATCATACCAAATCTGACCACTTAGCATCAATATCTATGAACTACCCATAATTAATATTGCTTTGTTTAAGCTACCAAAAAAACTGGTTAATTAAAGAAAAACTGCCACATGTTTATCCATAGCAGCAATCCATGGTAGCATTACTTATGGCAAAGACAAATAGCATATATTAATAGAAGTGACTAAATTTCAGCTCATGATTTATGCAATTCTAATTAGGAACCAATCATATTCCCAACCAAAAAAAAAAAAAGGAAAAAGAATTGACTCCCCAAAACTTATTTTCAGAGAAACAAGAGTACTAATCATAAGATACCAATTAATTACATGTGAATAGCATATCCATGGCGCAAGAAGGAGCTGCCAGAACCACAAATTGTGAATAACCCATCAATGAAATCCATAGGTGAATCGGGTATATCCATGGGCTTCCATCGAAGCTGAGTTGGGTTAGCAGAACTATTGGACTGGTTGAACTCACTCAAAATTCTTCCATCAGAAGAAGGAACCCGAGGCTTGAACGGTTCGTGCGTCACCGAAGGTTTGATCCGATAAAACCAACTACACCCAAAAAACCAAAAAAAAAAAAAAAATCATTAAAAAAAACAAGCACTACACAGTACATAGGACAAACAAAGAGGTTAAGAAGAAGATGAAAGTTGAAATTAACCTGAAGAGGTTGAGGTTGCGAGGGGTGGTAAAGGAGGTGCCAGAAATTTGCTCGGCGTAGAGACCATAGGGGCAGATGAGGGGGCTATTCTGCGCCGGCGGGAGAGCTCCGGCGAGGGCCTCGGAGGAGAAGTGGTTTCCGAAGCCGGAAAGATAGTCAAAGTCACCGCCGGCGTTGTCCATGATTTATGGAAATTAAATAACAGAGAGAGGGAAGACAAGATAGTAATAACCCACAATAAGAGACAGAGAGAGAGAGAGTGAAGCCAAGCGAATTGCGTTGAAACTCGGGAATGAGCTAAGGTTTTTGGTTGAGAAAATAAATAAATAAATATGATAACATTCATAATGTTGTCCGAACGTGTTTAAAGAACGAGGGCCTTTGTTTCACGAAGGTGGGTTATGACACTGGAACACGGAAGTGTGTACTTTAGGAACAAGACAATGCCACGTCAAAAAGGGATATGAACACTGAGCTGTTACGCAACGTAAACTCCAGATAAGTGTGTAGTATTTATAGGGGTGTCAACATGGGTTTTAACACGCGGGTCGATCCGCGACACGACACGAAAATTTGTGTTCGGGTTGACCCGTAAAAAAATTCGTGTCGTGTTCGTGTTTATGAATTCGTGTTCGTGTCGACCCGTATTATTTTTAATTATTATTTTTTTAATTTTTTTATTATTATTTTTTTAATTTTTATTTATTTTCGATCTATTTTTTTAATTTTTTTTGTCAATTACCGTTTTGTCCCCTATTTTGCGTGTTATTCGTGTCGTGTCGTGTCAACCCGCAAAAAATTCGTGTCGTGTAAGTGTTGAAGATTTTGACACGAATGAAAATTCGTGTCGTGTTCGTGTTGATGTATTCGTGTCGTGTCGAATTCGTGTCGTGTCAAATTCGTGTCGTGTCAACCCATATTGACACCCCTAAGTATTTATCATCCTGGATAAGGCACGTAAGCTTTGATAAAACGAGGCCATTTGGAAATAGTGATCAAAATATCACTCTCACCAAATCTTTTATTCAAATGTGATATGAATATTATTATTTTTTAATATGTCACGTGAGCAAGTTTGATGAGCACTATTTGAACACTATAGCGAATTTAGTTTGCTGATGTGTCATGTTTCTGGTGGACACCAAGTTTGATACCCTAGATAACGAACTTGATTGCAACTAACGCTGACACATTGGAGAAATTTGCTGCCACATGCAGCGAACTAAGTGTGCCACGTGTCTGACATGCACCTAGTTCGATGAGGGTCCAAGCGAACTATATGCCACGTGGCACCCCTCATACTTCGCTGCATGGGCCAGCGAACTAGGTGCCAAGTGGCAGCATCTGACCAAGTTCGTTGTACCCTTCAGCAAACTTGGTGTCACATGGCAGCTCCATGCTAGTTCGCTGCATGGGACAGCGAACTATCTGCCGACAGTTACAGTTCGCTAGCCTTTATAGCGAACTCGATGCTATTTATACCTTTTTCTCCCTCCCACCTGCAATATCCTATTCTGGAGCGTTTTTGTTTTCAAAGAACCGCAATTTTTTGTAATTTCACGACATAATGGGTGAGAGTACCAATGATTTAATTGCCATTTTATATTACAATGGGAGGAGATATTTTGGACCGAACGATAAAGTGTTTGAAGGAGATACGAAGATGTTCTGCATTAGCCCCCATTGCAAATATAATGACCAGAAGAAAATAATATAGAAGAAGTTGATATTACAACGGGGTCAATCCCTCTCTTGACTGGTTGCTAGATGTGCCTCGGGTAACCCGATGCAGTGGGTTGATATGGAGGTTGTGGAGGATGAAGATATCTCGTTAGTAGTTGACGTATTTCGACAGCATGGAGAGTCCTCATACATCGAGTTGTATGCGGAACTAAACACTGGTGGAGAGGGAAGCACTCAAAATTTTGTCCCTAGCAGTTACTCCACAGACATTAACAAGGAGCCGTTAGTCAATCCGGAAGATATGCATGTGTCACCCCCACCACCATCACCTCCACTAACAATACCTTCAGATGTGATTCCTGCCCATGACATGTATGATCCCTCGTGGCGTACAGATAGTTTCGAGGAAGAGGTTGACGAAGGTCTTGTTCCTGATAGTGACTCATCGGATACAGACGTTGATGGTGATTTTGAAAGGGAGCCGTCTAGTGCATTGTGTGAACCGATTCCATCACCGGGCATTGTCGGAACGCATGACCCACCACCAGTGGCAGGTTAGTTTGTTTACGGTGGTTTTTATTTTATTTGAAATGGTATTAGTAATGACATATGTTGGGATTATACAGGGGAGGATACTGTACCGTTTTGGTCGCAAATAAGCCATTACCCGAATATTAACTGGGGGCACCTAGATTAGGAGTGTGATGAAATGCAAGGGGCACAAATACCAAATTAATAGATGGGTCAAGAGCTCTATAAGGATCAGGTGTTTGAGAGCAAGCAAGATGTACAGATGGCAATTAAACAATATTGTATGGCAAATCATCACACAACTGTCATAGAAAAAAGTGATACCAAAAGCTGATAATGGTTTGTCAAAATCACAATGACGGTTGTCCATGGAGGATGAGGGCATATCTCAAAAAAGGCGGTACTAAATGGTTTATAGGCATATGGAACAACATCCATACATGTTTTAGTCAATCACTTTCACAAGATCACCAACAACTTGACTCAAATTTCATTTGTTCATTGATCATCGGTAAGTCAACTAGCCTCTGTGTTTATACAATAATCACACTGTATCGCTAATACATTCTTGTTTGGCGAAACACAGAAATGATATGGGAAGAGCCAAGTGTTAAAATTGGTCTAATCCAGGAAAGGATTGCATCCATTCTTGGATTTCATATCTCACATAGAAAGGCATGGAAGGCAAAGCAAAAGGAAATTGTGAGGACTTTTGGGGATTGGGATGAGTCGTACGCGTTTCTGCCGAGATGGTCGGATTATATGTTGTTGTTTTCGCCAGGGTCTGCTTATAAACTGGATGTGAATGATCATAGGATTGATGGTCACCTCGATGGATCGCACAAGGTGTTCAAAAGGGTATTTTGGACATTCAAACAATGTTGTTATGCTTTTAATTATTGTAAGCCTATGCTCCAGATCGATGGGACACATTTGTATGGAAAATATCGCAGAACGCTATTGATTACTACAGCCATTGATGGTAACAATTATGTTCTGCCTGTTGCATTCGTTGTTGTTTCTGGAGAGAATATTGATAACTGATCGTGATTTTTGGCTATGTTACGAATCCATGTGACTCAGAAAGACGGAATATGTCTTGTTTCTGATCGACATATTGGTATCTTGACTGTGGTTAATAATGTTGAGCTAGGGTGGCAACCACCCAAAACTTACCATGTGTTTTGCCTTCGACATATGGCGAGTAATTTTAATCGTAAGTTCGAAAATGTCATGTTGAAGAAGCAGTTAAAGAAGTTAGGTATGCTTTTCTATCTATGTATCTTGTTGGTATCACTTTTAAGATGTTTAGAATTTAATTAATATTTTTTGTAATGTGCAGGTTATACAACCTCGCGATTAGATTTTGAAGCTGGTTTAGAAAATTTAAAGAATCAAGCCCACAAATTGCAGCATGGATTGATCGCATTCCAAAGGAGAAATAAAGTATTGCGTATGATGCTGAAGGGAGACGATTTGGCCAGATGATTACAAACCTGTCAAAGTGTGTTAACAAGGTTCTTAAAGGTTCCAGAAACCTAACTATCACGTTTTTGGTTCGCATCACATACGCCAGGCTAAATCAATACTTCTTAACACATGGCCAAGAGGCGCAGTAGGAGATGGACAGAGGTAATCGTTTCGCCAAAGTATTATGGGTCTCATATGTTGAAAACCAACAAAAGGCTACAACACACTGGGTTACATCTTATGACAGACAGAAAACACGATTTGAAGTTCAAGAGTCCTACATCAAAGAACCCACCAAGGCGAAAAGAAATGGTGGGTTTCGTTAGTTGATCGGGCATACCAGTGTGGTCAGTTCACTACTTTTAGGTACTCGTGTAGTCATGTGATTGTAGCATGCAAATCAGTGAACTATGACCCGTTACAGTATATTGATCCAACATATAGTGCAACATCTCAATGTCAGGTATATTCGCACAAGATGTGGTTATTGTAGGGTTGTTGACCATGACAAACGTCGTTGTCCATCTCGCCAACAAGGCTAATTTTTCGTAACGAAACATATGTGTTCGTTGTTTGTAAACTATTTCAAGCCTACGTTTGACGTTATATTAATATGATCAATATGTGTGTTGTTACTTGTTTTGTTCATATTCACTTCCTTAGGGATTACGTAGGATAAAATAAGTAAACAAAATGCTGTTGAAAAATGTTATAGAAACTTCATACGTCGACATAAGTAATGTAAAAAACTCGTAGCGATAACAAGTCGAAAAACAGTGACATAAATAAACATAAATAAGCACATACATCCACAAACTCATGGAATACTGAAGTTTATAAGAGCTAACAAAAAACCCTGCAATAGTATAAGAAATCACTGCTCTCTCCTCCTCCCAAGATAGCTCGCGCAAAGTGCCATGTCATGCTAAAACAGTGACAAACCATAACAAACCCTGGCGTCTCTAGCAGGTTCCTTCTGATGCCATCGCCCCCGTCTCCTCCATCATCAGAAGAATCACTATCCACATCGTCCACACTTTCCATAACCCCCACAATATCTTCTTGTGATATCACTCCCGTAGGCCCCGAATATGGTGACTGGAGAAAATCGGTCGAGTATGCCTGCGGTGTGGCCATAACTGGGGCATTATACTGTCGTCTGTAATCCTCTGTAAACTCATCCAGACCATGATCTGGTTGTGAGCTGGACTAGCCTAAAAACAAGCCTGGCGTATGCGCCGGAAATCCCGCCTGCGGCATGGACTGTCCACTGCTCTGCCTGGAAATGGATGATACATATGTGGCTAAAATCCCTGTTGCGGCTGGGATGGGGCTGAAAACCAAGGGGGATACTGCGATGGTGGGCCACCTGTCTGACCAGTACCGGTTGTGCCAGGGACGTACTGTGGCGGCCACCAGTACAGCTACGATGGCCCTGATGGGTACCCCGATGCAAAAAACTGGCCTGCATGTCGCGACGGAAGAGGCTGCAAAAAAACAGGTCGATCAGCAGAAGGGGGAGTCTGAAAATGTAGAGGCAACCCCTCATGTCGTGCATGCTGGCTACGACACTCAAGACAGGGAGGTTGAACTGTCTGAACAATGGTGGGGGGAGGTGCTGGCTCTCCTGGGTCTGTCAATCTACCAAACTCTTGGAAGGAAGCTAGAGCCTGAACTGCCTCCTTGTATATCTGA